GGGCAAGTACACACTCTTAGCCTCAGAAAGCCCTCTATTGAGTTCATCTTAGGGTCATGATAAGATGGAAATGGAGGGCAGGATAATAGTAAAAATACAGATAGCAATACAGGTTTTGAAGTACAAGTAGTTATTTCTGGAGATCTCATAATGGTCTGAAATTGGTGACATCCAGCATTGTTTTATTTTTATTTTTATGAAACCCAGTGTCATCTTCATATGAAATGTTAATCAACATTTTGTATAAAAACAACACCCTTACTAAATGAAATCTTGTTTCTTCATTTGGTGAAGCTCAATCACAACTTACCCCTTTTGGCAGACATGTTTCAGGATGCTCAGTTTTACAGCATTCCTCCAGCAGCTCTTCGTAGCCTTTGGTAGATCTGACAATCAGTTGTGGAGAGTACTCTGGATGTCTCCTTCCATATTCATACATAAAGCTGTAACAAACAAAAGATTTTATGAGTTTACTCTTATCACAACTTATCAATTTGAACTAACACATTCTGACATGTCTAAAACTTGTATGAAATGTGGTGCTGGGTGAGAGTTCTGATAATACTATGGACTGCTGAAAAGACCAATAGTTCATTGAAGGAACCAAGTCTGTACTGTCAGTAAAATCCAAAATATCATTAGAAAAGATGATGATGCCAGTAAAATGGAAGGTGGTAGGAAAAGACCACGTTGCAGATAGATTTGCTCAATTAAGGAACTCATGACACTGAGTTTTCAAGATCTGAGCAGGACCGCTAAAAACTTGGGCTCATAGAGGTCTTTCAGTCATTGTGTCTCTGTAAGCCAATAACAACACACACACACACATTATAGACAACCAATTTAGCTGATTGTTGGCTGGAAGAGATATGGGGTTCAATAACTTTTATGAATACTGAGAACAGATTAAGTATACAACTCTCCATATAAGATCTGCAAGTGAGATTTCTCTTCTGGTATATTCTCTGTGTGAGCTTTTTGGAACAACCACTATTATCACCCATCAGATTTCAGCCTTTTTTTTTTTTTTTTGCAGAGTGATACTTTACTTTCACACAGGGCTAGTGTGACATTTTCTGTTTGCTAGATTCTGTTTCACTTTGGATTAATATCCTGCCATTCAATTTTGATACAAATAGTAAGGCAATTTTACTTATTTGTTTTGAAATGATTTTGATTTGTGCTCTTTAGCCTTGGACACATTTATAAGGTTATGTCCCACAAAGTAGTAATAGTAGCAGCAGTAGTACTAGTAGCAGTAGTAGGTGCAACAGAAGAATCAACAACAACATCTAAGCTGACAATGTATGACAAAACAAAAACAAACGTACAAGAGTAGGAGCTGGGTTCTAGAAAGCAAATCAGTTGCACATCAACTTATTTAGAGTAGCTATCCTATGTCTTTATCAACATAACTTCCTCCTTCTCTTTGACATCTTATTTGGTCCTCAGTTCACAGTTCTCCTGAGCTTGCTTGATTTTTGTTTTACTTTTATTCTCCCTGCATACTGTTCCATTTCTATATTGGTTAAAGTTCTCAAGTCAGACCTTTCATTGTGCGTGACTATCTCCAGATTGACTTTACAACATGCAGGGTCTGCCCCAACATTTCATTCAACCTGCTCCAATTAATGAATCATTTCTACTGTACAGCCCTATCACTAGGGAAAATAGGGATTAATCTGAATTTTCTATGCCGTACTTTGCCAGATGCTGGTCGTTATTGTCAGCATAATGTTGGCACACTTCTTTGTTATCCACAAACTCTCTGACTGTTTCAGACAGATCTGCAGGCTTGTCATCATGCTCCAAATGGACCATGCATTCTCCTCGTTCCACCACAGGTTTTTCACAGCAAGTTGACAGTTTTGAAGAGATCTCATTTTGGTGAGAGCAGACATATTTTGTCAGTTTTTCCTAGAAGAAAAGAGGTTCATAAACAACTTGTTATTTGATGGAAATCACTTTCACACTGTAGACTGGAGAAGTCCAGGGTTTCTTGGAAGTTTGTCCTTTCAACAAGTGGATCTTACTTGGAGTGAAAAGTTTTCCTTTTGATGACAATTGCTGTTTACAATGCATCATTGAAAGGCATTGTGATCTATTTCTAACTACCAGATACAGAACAAGGCCCAAACACTCCGGAAGAAACCTGCTATAAACTAGGGGTTTATAGCAGTATAAAGTGTCTAGGATATAACCCAGAATCTCTTGATTCTAGCAGATACACAGGTTTCCAGTCAAATAAACCAGTTTAAAAGAGATGCCTTAGAAAGATAAGCATCCAGCTATACTATCTCTCTATGTCTGGTTTATGTTTCCCCTTGAGAAAATTTTCAGCATTGCACAATATTAGCAGCCTTTCCTATCCTTTTCTGAAGTTTTTGCATGAGTCCATTTAGTGAGGTTAGGATGCATTCCCTCTAATGGTCTTCCATTTCTATTTACAAAAGTCCCCATTGCTTCCTGGCAAAGTTTGCCATGTTTTCATTTTCTGGAGATACTTTAGGGCCAGGACTTTTTTTCCAATATAAAGTTACCCACATAATATTTTCCTTCTTTTTTTATAAAAACAGTCCCAGAAAGCAACAATATAGCAAAATTGGCATTTTAGGAACCAAAAATTGAAAAGTAACACTGGACAGATGCCCCTTGTATCAAGCATTTTAAAAGGTCTATACCAGGCATCCTCAAACTTTTT